CTCTCTCTCCCCCCTCCCCCCCCGAAAGTTGTTCACATCCACTTAACATAGCTGTTTCAGACCTGCACCTTTATACTGATATTCTCTCCAGTGACGACAACCTTCCTCAAGCCGAGAATCTATATTTGAAGCCACCATGACACATACTTAACCATCCATTCAAAACCAGTGTGTTGCCCTTAATTTCTGCAATCCTCACTTTCCCAGCCGCATTTATTGTGAAGTCTTCTCCAACTGCAGCTCTTTTGCAGGATTTAGCACTATCCGCTGCAGTGCTGCTTGGATTTTATCCAAAAGTACAATCCCCTGTAGGCCAAACCTCAAACGGTACACATATCTGGCTGTTGATAAACAGGTCATGAGTTCAATCCTGAATGGTAAAGAGAACTAACCTCAGTGGTATAAGGGAAATTATTGGGTTTCTCATGAGGGTAGCTGGTTTTGGGAGAGACCCTGAACCCCAAACTGGGAATCGTGCGCGCATGTAGATGTTAATAAATGGGGCATGAGTACTACAGTACTACTGCTCCCACAATTGATCCAATCACATTAACTATCCCTTAGGAGTTTCGGGGCATAGACTCAACACTTCTCTCTTACCTCATCAGGCTTAGCATCGACGAAATATCATCCTTATCCAGTCGCCATCTCAAACTTTGTGATCTTTCCACTGGATTATCAAGGACCTTCCCTGGGATTCGTAACTTGCGTTGGAACGATACCTGTCATCATTGCAGAATATCAAAATGAATTACAGTCGAGTTGAGTCAACCCTCGTGACCAGGAAGTGGAAAAATCGGCCTAACCGTACACTACAGGGGCCGTGTTGACCCAGATATCAGACGGGACTTCCGCATATGGACACCCAAATCCCAGCTTGTGCAGAAATCTTTTTTGTTTTTAAAAAAGAGGAAAAAACGGGTAACGACCCTGAGATTTGATCGTCGAGCTGATCCGCCCTAGGTAATTGAGAATGGTAGTATTTTACTCATCTGCTTCCAGTGAAGTTCGAACTCAGGTCTGTGTTTCATCAACCGTTCAGGGGTGTACCAGCTGCGCTAGGCCAGTTGGTTTTATCCAGAATTCCTAACAACCTACAAATGTCAAATACTGAAAAACCTCGAAAAGGAAAAAGAAAAAGTTCACTAAGTTCATTTTTTTAATGGGGATTTTGCGTTTGTCAAATGGAGCACAAATCCGGGTTTATTTCTCAAAAACATGTACGGGGTTTGGGGTGGGTTCCGGGTTTACTGATTGGGTTTAGACTCTCGAGGAGCCTAAAGAGGTTACTCTTCACAATTTTTTATTTTGTTTTATTTTTATCTTTTAGTCTGTGGGGAATTCAGAAATGACCCTGAGCCAAAATTGCTCGCATAATGAGTCGCATTGCAATTTCCCATGACATATAGGTTTTTCAGAGTTTTTTTAATTTTCAAAATTTCAAGGACTTTTGGAAATTTCAAACTAGCGCCCCCCCTCATGGCTACCATGGACCTGGACACTGGACAACAGACTGTCTGGACTGGTCCCGGACGTCCGGGTCTGATCTGGATCAGGGGGTGCCTGAAAAAGTGTATATTTTGTTCTTTTCGACCTTTTAGGCCCGAATTCGGTTGCAAATTTTGAAATGACCCTCAGCCAAAAGTTGGTTGCATTGCAATTTTCAATTTCATAAATCACACTTCTTTTCCAGATTTGTTTTTGTCTTTTGATAAAGCAAATTTTCATTCCCGACAGGTCCAAAAATCCAGATTCCGGATCCTGGACCTTAATCTCGGGCTCTGCATGGTAGCCAGCGTTGTCACGCGGGGATCCCCGGGGCCCAAGCCGGGGTAGGGGTTTCAACCCCGGACCCCCGCCGCGGGGCTACCCGACCCCCGCCCCCGCAAAAACAACCCCGGCCCTGCCCCAACCCCG